CCCCGCGCGGGCGGCCACGGGCTCACCCGGTGCCTGTGCGGGCCTAGTGCCCTGTGCTGATCCTGCACCGGTGTGCTGATCCTGCACCGGGCACTCTGTACCGGCTTACTGGTCCTGTGCTGGGGCGCACTGGTACTGCCAATGGTATGAGAAGGCCAATGGCATCCTGGCTTGTGTCAGCACTGGCGTGGCCAGCAGGGACAGGGAAGGGATCTGACCCCTGTGCTCGGCACTGCTGAGGCCGCCCCTCGATTCCTGGGTTCAGTTTTGGGCCCCTCACCCCAAAAAGGACATTGAATGACTCGAATGTGTCCAGAGAAGGGCAACGGAGCTGGTGCAGGCTCTGGAGCACAGGTCGTACGGGGAGCGGCTGAGGGAACTGGGGGGTTTAGTCTGGAGAAGAGGAGGCTGAGGGGAGACCTCCTGGCCCTCTACAGCTACCTGACAGGAGGGTGCAGAGAGGGGAGATGAGTCTCTTGAACCAAGGAACAAGCGCCAGGCCCAGAGGGAATGACCTCAAGCTGCTCAGAGCAGGGTCAGGCTGGCTCTGAGGAAGGATTTCTTTGCAGAAGGGGCTGTTGGGCGTTGGAATGGGCTGCCCAGGGCAGGGGGGAGTCCCCATCCCTGGAGGGGTTGAAGAGTCGGGTTGACCCAGCACTGAGGGATCTGCTGGAGTTGGGAACGGTCAGGGTGAGGCTCATGGTTGGACTGGAGGAGCTTCAAGGTCTTTTCCAACCGAGGTGATTCTGTGATTCTGTTTTGCACCAGCACACGGACTGGTGCAGGGTTGCTGTGCTGGTGGCCAATGCTGACCCTGAGGGGTGTGGTGGCAGCCCCAGGTCACAGCCCCCATGTCGTGCTCTGCCCCCCACCCCACAGAAGGCCCTTTCCCAGGGCGGGGGGGGCAGCAGTGCCTCACTCCGAGGCAATGCCACATCCAGTCACCACGTCCCATCACTTTGTCCTGTCGCTCTGCAGCACAGAAAAGCCTGGAAAGCAGCAGGAGGCTCATCAGGGTAGCCACACTGCTGTGTGAACAGCCAGCTTTGAGGTCCTAGTGTTCCCAAAAGCAAGAGAAACCTTGTGCATCAGCTGTCATGGGACACCACGGGCTGCTGGGGGGGAGTAACATGCCATAATCACTGTTTGTGGGACTATTGCACTAAGTGCACCCTCAAAAACAGAAACACTTGAGCCTAGAGAAGAGAAGGCTCCACGGAGGTCTTATAGCAGCCTTCTAGTATTTAACAAGGGCCTACAAGAAAGCTGGGGAGGGACTCTTTATCAGGGATAGGACAAGGGGTAATGGCTTTAAATTGAAAGAGGACAGATTTAGATGAGGTATAAGGAAGAAATTCTTCCCTGTGAGGGTGGTGAGGCCCTGGCACAGGTTGCCCAGAGAAGCTGTGGCTGCCCCCTCCCTGGAAGGGTTCAAGGCCAGGTTGGACGGGGCTCTGGGCAACCTGGGCTAGTGGAAGGTGGCCCTGCCCAGGGCAGAGGGGTGGGACTGGATGATCTTTAAGGTCCCTTCAACCCAACCATTCTGTGATTCTATGATTCCACACACCATGCTGTATACAGCAGAGTCTGCTCAATAACCCTGGTGTATCCACCACGTGCAAAACTGGGGGAGGAAATAGGGGTGCTTGTCTCCATGTCCATGAAGCTGTAGAAGCAACACCTTGATACATTTGAACTGAAAGCTCTCAGAGGTAGGAGCTGAGCCTGACCGAGGCATCTGCACACCAGCTGCACAGTGGGGCAGGCTGGTGGCTGCCTGTGCAACAGGAAAATCAGCAACAATTAATCTGCAACTTGTAATAGTTCACTGGCAGCTACTCTGCACCTAAACACCGTCTCATGTAGCTTGGCCTTTGTTTACTCATCTCTTTGGCTCCTGCTCCCTGAGTTAGAGTCCATCAGCTGATTAATTCATCAGCCCACTTGATTTGTTTGGTTTGTGCTCCTCCATTGGCCAGTGCCAGTGCTGGGTGCTGGCATTGTGCCTGTTGGAATCACGCTTTCCCGCTCCCATCCAGCACAGGCACCTGCAGCACCTACCAGCCTGTAGAAATGGGTGTCTGCTAGCTTTGTTACCCTCCTCCTCCATGAAACGCTAGAAAATGTTGGTGGTGAGATGTCCTTCTCCTCATCCTCCCCCCCCCCGCCAGCAGCCTTCACTCTGCCTGTGCTCCCACGCTGTGTGGTGGTGCAGGAAGAAAAACCAGCAAAACACCAGAAGCAGGGGAATACAGGGGAAAGCAAGCATGCTGCAAATAGCCAGGCCAAGTACTGCTGTGATTTTGCAGGGAGGAAAATGAGTGGCACAAGCCTAAGGGCAAAGGGGAGCAAGGTGGAGAGAGAGGGGCCCAATCCTGATCCCTGCTTGGAGCTGCAAGGGTGTGCTGATGCCCTCCAGGACAACAGGGATGCTCAGGATTAAGTCTGACACTTCACTGGGAAACCTTAGGAGAGAGGGGAAAGGAGGGCAGGCTTTGGACAGACAAAAGTGAGGGGCTCCTCGTTGGCTCTCTCGGCGATCGATCCCCCTGATTGCTGTGCTGGGGACACCAGGGACACCCCGTCCTGCTGTGGGTGCATTTCCAAACCAGGCCTGGTGCAGCCCTGCAGCGAGGGGCCAGTGCCGAAGAATCAAGCATTGAGTGCCATTGGCAGAAGTCCCAGTGTGTCTGGTGAGATCTGGTCCTGGGATGCACCTGTGCCTCCCTCCCTCTCCCTCTCTTGCATTTTCCTTTCAGAGCCTGCAAACCTGTAGGTTTACTGACAGCACCCTGGAAACACAGAGCAGCCTTCCAGGAGTGCCAAAAATCCGGCACCCTTGCTGAAATTTCTGGGAGTGCTCAGGCTCCACTGAGATGCTTTGCTGCGCTTTTGCCCACAATGACTCCCTCTGCCTCAGGCCAGCAGTTACAGCTGCCTCTGATCTTTCAGATACACTTCTCCAGCAGAGTCTGCCAGGTTGGATGACAGCGGCTCAGGCAGATGAAGGAGGTGCAGGCAAAAAGAGCCTGGTGCAGGCACTGAGAGATCGCAGAAGAAAATGAGAGGTGCTCCCAAGAGGTCCTCATGCCCTGCCACCGACAAGGAGGTGACCATATTCTGCCTCTGGGCCCTTCCTCACAGCCTATAGGGGTCTGTGGGCTCCCTCCTCAGCCCCACGCCTTCCCACCCTGTTGGATTTTGATGCTGAGTGTACACCAATTTCCATTCGTGCTTCTGCAGCGCTCCTGTGCTGGAAGGCCTCAGAGCAGGAGACAAACACCCACTTGTGAAGTGCCTGGCGATTCAAGATGGGTGAATAAAAGCCAGGCAGCTGTTTCATCCACCCCTGTAATTGCAGGCAGGGCTGGCGGCGATCTCCAGCCATGCCTGGGGATGCAGGCGGAGGAATGGTGTAAGCATGCAACATACATGGGGACAGCAGGGTCATGCCCTGCACTTGCAATGACACCCCAGGTGCTGCCGACATCAAGGCCAAGTGTGGAAGCCGGTCCCACCGGTCCTCGCAAGCCCATGTCCAGCTGCACGTTTTTGAAGGTGCTAACGATGCTCTGCTCTGCAGCAGCACCCTGCAAACTTCGCACCCAAACCCATTTGGATCAGCTGGGCTGGAGTTCAAACCTCTTTGTTGATTCAGAGATTTGTAAAGCTAAACGCCAGAAAGGTCCACTCTGCTCCCACCTCCTGCTTGCCCAGCCCAGGCAGTGACATCTGCAGCTCTTGCATCAGAGCTAATAACCCTGCGGTTGAACTGGAGAGGAGTTTTTTTAGAAAGACTCCTTGCCTGTGTTGAAAGACCTGAAAGGCGGTGAATCTACTACATCTCTCAGGAAGGTAATTGCTCTCCCTACAAAAAGCCTGTAATTTATTTCCCATTTGAACTTTTCTAGCTTCAGTTTGCAGCTGCTGGATCTTACACCATTGCTGCTGGATTCCAGGTCCATTTGAGGCACCAGTGCTCTGCAGGCAGACACGGACCCCAGTCTACCCAGTTCCTTCCCTCCTGCAGTGATTCCCTGGAGCTGTCTGGTTTTGCGGCAGGTTTTCCAGCCCTCAAACTGATCCAAAATACTCTGCAAAATGCAAAGCTGAAAACTGGCTGGGACAGATTAGATGTGATTTCACTAGGGCTGTCTGCAGTTGCCACCCCTCCAACCCCTCCTTTGTATCTGTATGGATCACACTAGAAATTTCAGCCAAAAAATGGCACTTAAAATCTTCTTTTTGCTTGTTCAACTGCATCACTGATGTCCTGTCTAGCTGCTACTGTGTGCAGCCCAGCTCGGGTGCTTGGGGAAACATCCTTGTCCTGGGATGTGCCACAGCACATTCCTGGGCT